CCCGGGGCCCGTGCCCCCGATGGCGCGGGCAAGTCAGCGCCCGCGGGGGCGGGCAGAGCCTGGCCCCAGCCAGCGGCCGTGCGCCCAGCTCTGGGGGCTCTGCCGCCCGCCACGGGCCGCCGCTCATTTCCGCCGGACCCAGCGGAAAGCTTGGGGCCCAGGGAGAGCGCCGGGGCGGAGCCAAGGGTGCCACCTCGGCGAGCGGCACCTCCTCCTCTGCGCCGCCCTTTCCTCTTCCTTTTTATCCTCCCTCCTGCACCGGAAGTGCCTTTCCCGTTTCCTAAAGTCAGACCTGGCTAAGACCCCGCAGGCCCTGTATTCCCAGTCTTCTCCATTACATATAAAGGAACTGGGTGGGCTGGCCCCATACTGTCCTTTAAGTTCTCATCCCCTCAACTTGTTTGCTGCTTGTCCCCACAGCAGGTCTGTACCACCACCCACCGCCTCCCAAAACACAGTAACAGATAAAACGGGGTGCGGGGGGGGGCATTTTATTAGAATCCACAGGTATCAGCTTTGGGCAGCAGCGGAGGGCAACTTCACGTAACTCTTCATGGGGGGCAGTGGTCGAATCTTCCGGCCAGCCCAGCCCCCCTTGCGGTGCCATAGCCCACTGTTGGGCCTCTTGCCCAGCCAGCGGTTGCGACCAGCCTTGCCAATCACGCGTTTGTTGTGGTCAACGTTGGACACTCGGCCTACCGTTGCCGTGCACGTTTCCAGCACCTGAGAAAGCAGATGAGAGAGTGGGCAGCGTAGGGAAGGAGCCTGAGTGGACTGCCGGTACCAGCCTTCCAGTACTCAGCAAGACTGAACCTAAGTGCAGGTCCAGAGTAGCAACAGGGTAGCTGAAAAATGACAGGCATTGTTCCTCATTCGCTCCTAGTGCCATCCTGACAAGGCATGCCTAGTCATGTGGCAGAAAAGGCAGCTGTCAGTATCATAAAACATCTGGGAGCTATCCCAGCCAGGAGGTACAATCCAGAGTCTTCCTTTACAGACTCCTCCCACCTGTACCCACACACCTGCATCTGCCTCTTGGAGGGCAGCTGGATGATGGCTGTCCCATTCACCTTCCGCAGCAGCACACCACATGTCCCTGGGGAAGGGAGAAGCAGCTTTGCCACCGTCCACAGAGGAGGAAGAGGCTGGGGGGGGGGGTGATTACTTAGGGACCATCACTCACATGCTACCATTCAGGTGCAGAGAAGGATACAGCGAAGAACGAGCAATGTTTTCAGTCAAACATAAGCATGTCTCTATTCTCGTGGGCCTTGTTTTCCCCTTTCTCTGCTAGTGGACCAGATGTGAGCCCATGGATTCTGACAACTATGACCACAGGTACTCCCTGACCTTCCAAATCCTAGAACCCAGGAACTCCTTTCCTCATACCTGCAGCTCGGATATACTGGGCACCCCGGCCTGGTTCGCTTTCCACGTTGTTGATGAGAGTCCCCACAGGCAATGCCCCAAGAGGATGTGCATCCCCTTCTCGAGCAGCAACTGAAAGACAGAATCTCATTAGCACTAGAATCTTTGGAACCTCCAATCCACGCATCTGGTGGCCATCTCTTACCTGCCATTCGGCCTATATGGTCAGAGTTCAAGATTGTATCTCCAGCCTGCATGTTTTCTGTGGCAATGATCCAGCGTTTCCGGCTGCCTCCAGCAACCAGAGCAATGTCTGCTGACCTGTTCAGGTGAGAGACAGGTGAGCAGACCATCTAGACAGCTCTAGATTTTCTGAGAAGCTACACAGCAGTCAATCAGAACATACCATCATCCTCCCACATCCCCAACTTGCCTACAGGGATCATAGCGGACTCTGACAACCTTCTCCTCAAAGGGTCCTGGCTTGGTCTCCTGCTCCGGCCGGAAACGTAGGAAGTCAATCATGCGATATCGCTGCTTGTGGCCCCCGCCAATACCATGCACTCGGATGCGGCCTGTGTTCAGGATGGTTTGGGGCTGTGATCCAGGTCAGACCTGTTCAGCTCTGAGTACTGGGAACAGGCCTGTTCTGGGCCATAGAGCAGTGCTTCCCAACATTATCACATATGCAGAAAATTATAAAAGTTTGCATAGCACACTGGAGGATGGAAGGGGTAGGCAATACCCGTCTCATAAAAACATAATTATGGGGGCCTGCAGATGGTGTACAGTGCTAGATTCCCACATAGCCAACTGAGATTCAAGGCCCAGATCCGGTGGCTTGAAACTCATGCCTGGTACACTTGTGTACATGTCCAGAATCCCAAGAGGAGAATGGAGAAGGGATTGCCACATGACCATCCCCAATGGGAGGTGATTTTTCACTTTCTCTGTCTTTATCTCTGTGTGTCTCTTGCAAGCACATATGTCCTATAGCAAAAGTCTCTCTTAAAAAAGCAAACAAAAAAACCATAATTGCGGGGCCAGCAGGTAGAGTGGTGGGTTAAGGACACTGGACTCCCACATGGCTGATCATGGTTCAAGTCCTGGACCTGATGGTTTGCTTTCTCACTTTCCCTTTCCTTCTCTTCTTCTTCTCCTCACTCTGTCCCTCTCTGATTAAATAAATAAGCAAAAGCTACATAAAAAAAACCTCTCAATAAATAAATAAATAAATATATGAATAAAATTAGATAATTCTAAAGAAACAAAAAACATAATTGTATGATTAATGAAACCATACAAAACTTCCAATTATAATCTCTCCAAACTATCGAATTCAGGAAATGTACTGAGAATTATGAAAATTATATTCAAATAATCTCATTATTAAGTTTTTTTATAGAGAGATTTTTGCTATAGGGCACGTGTACTCACCAGAGAGAGGGAGACATAGACAGAAAGCAAGAAATCACCTCCCTCCCCCAGTGGGAATGGCCACAGCGTAACCTCTTCTCCTCCATTCTTCTCCTGGGATCTTGGGCACGCACACACACACACAAATACACACACACACACATGTGCCTGGTGTGTGTTTTAAGCCACAGACAGGGTCTGGGACTCAAACCACAGTCAACTATGTGGGAGTCCAGCAATGCAATCATTACACCATAGGCTGGTCCCACCATTATTAAGTTTTTGAAAAGTGAAGAAAAATGTCATGGAACTTCTATATATTGCCACTTTTCTTTTTCTTTTCTTTAAAATTGCCAGAGGGTACAGGTACCCACCAGAGAGAAACAGAGAGAGAGAAAGGGAGAGGAAGGGATAAAATTCCCCCCCTCTCAATGAGGCATGGTCACACTGCAGTCCCTTCTTCATTTCTCCATCCTGTTGGGATTTGGGACAAGCACACACATGTGCCTGACATGTTTTTCCTTTTTTTTGGAGAAGTTTTTGCTGTAGGGTGCATGTGCTCACCAGAAAGACAGTAAGAGACAGACAGAAAGTGAGAAATCACCCCCCAGGGGGGATGGCCACGCCACAATCCCTTCTCCTCCATTCTCCTCTCGGGTTCTTGGGCACACATGCACACGTGCCTGGCATGAGTTTAAGCTACCACGTCTGGGACTCGATCCACGGTCAATTACATGGGAGTCCAGCGACATAGCCATTACGCTAACTGCTGGTCCCACCTGGCATGTTTTTCAAGCCACCAGGGCAGAATCTGAATAGCAGTTAGCCATGTGGGATCCTGCTCCCTTAACCACTAGGCTATAAGGCCGGTCCTCAGTTTTCTTCAGTTATCCTGACTGTCTTTAGCACAGGCCAGTTGTCGGTTGCTTTGTATACTACTCTCTGGCTCCTATACATATACTACAGGCAGAAGGAATGCAACAGATGCTTTTAAATTACATTCCTCTGCTCTACCTTACAAGGTATAAGTGCATCAATATATGGGCCTAGGGTCCTAGCATGTTTTTCCTGTTTGCTGCTCAAAGTCCCTTGCCCTTGTTCCTACCTGTGTGATCTCGACCTCCGGACTTCCTCATCTTCACTGGGATAATGGTGTACTTGGTACGACTCTTCCAGGACACAAACTTGGCACTAAGGGCCACAGAAGTAAGAATGGGGCGGCAGGGGAGCAATGTCAAGGCAGAGGGCAGTTGGAAGAGGGCATTGCTCATCACCTAGGAACAAACCAAATTTTTTTTCACTTGAAAGCTAATTGAAGGAGAACCAATGGAGAAGGCACAGACCAATTTAGCTTTTAGCCCACTGTTTCTTGGACATGCCCCAGAACAGCAGTCCAAAAACTCCACCCTTCATAGCCTACACAGATACTAGTGCACAATGTTTATCCAGGTGTGTGCTGATTACCTCTCCTCAACCAATTTTGCACCTCCACAGTATCTCCTTAATGGAATGTTCTCCCTTTGGTCATCTCCTTCCAAATCTGGCTCAAAAACTCTCCTTCTCCAGAAATCTTTTCCTTTCCTAAGCAACTCCCTTCTCCAAGGCTGGCAGTTTTCACACATCCATGTACCATTATTGGCACTGATGCCTTTTGCCATCCACGTTATGTTACCGGGAGTTGACACATATGAATGGCGGGGAGGAGTCACTTCTGTAATTTTTCTTGCTATATTCCCAGTATTTCACATAATAGGTTGGTTTTGTTTTGAATTTTAAATATGCATGTACCAAAGTCCATCATAATCAGCCTGAGAGGGCCAGAAGACCAAGATTTATAACTTCTTTTTTCTGTGATTCATTCATTTCCACTAGGGGCCATAGGATATCTTTACCCGAGGCCCCTATTTTTGGTATCTCACCCTGCATTCTCTAATCTCAGCAAAAACTCATCTTGGTAGGTATCATATCATAATGACTAAGTACACTGGCTCTGAAGTTGGACTGTCTAGCTCCAATTGTTGGCGTGTGACCTTAGAATGCTTATCAGTTTTCTCACTTGTAAGATCGGAAATAACAACTCCATAGAGTGGTTGAAAGGTGTTCGATCATTTGAAACATCTATTTCTTAACCCTAGTTACCATAGGCATCCAATAAAAGTTATTACGGAAACCTGAATAAGTGGTGATCTGCAAAGCACTTTCACCATCTCGTTTGACAACTCTCGTCCTGTGAGATAGCCACACTTATAGAGTAGAAAGCTGAGGCCGAAATTGACTCAAGGTCACGGGGTTTGCATGACTCCTGAGTAGACTCGAGTCCCTCGCTATTCATCCTTGACTGACTGCTTTCCAACTTGAATGGAAACTCCTTCCCGGGTAGGACATATTACCTGGGCGGCGGGGAGTAGATTCTGGGCTGGGACAGCGGCGGCAGGAGGCGCCAGGCTCAGAGAGCCCAGAGCCCGGGTCAGCGCCCACAGAGCCATCCGGGAGGCCAAGCTCCTCCGGGCTCAGCACGCCTCCTTTACCTTCAGACAGACCGCCTGGCGCTCTCGGATGACGTTAAGCGCTCCAGGCGCCGTCCGTCCCTGATAACGTCAGAGAGGCGGGCAACGCCTGGACCCCCAGCTGGAGACACACCTGCTTTCCTCTCTCAGCTTAGTCAGAGCCAATCCCCAGACACCTATGAGGTCGCGTGACTAGGGAGCAGGCCCCGCCCTTCAGAGCCGTCAAAACAATTGCCTCAAGCGGCAGCCATGATGAATTTAAAGGGGCAGTGCAAGCAAAGGCGTTAGCCAGACCGACCGACTACGGGTGAGTCTTCGAGGTTACCTCTCGGGCTAAGGATTGAGATCCGCGCCAGCTTTCGTTCCTGCACCCCGGGACAGATGAACAAACCCTCGCGAACCCATGATCACGAAACGCCAGACATTCTCAAAAAACCCCGCCCCCCGCGATTCTTCCCCGCCCCTGGGCGTCCACTCAGACAGACAGACAGACCGCCTGCCCCGCCCCCTGCGCTACCCACTGACTCAGTGACCTCGGGATTTCCCGGGCGTCGGGTCTGCGCTACCGACGCGGACCTCCGGCGTCCGCCGCACCGCCCCCTCCGCCCCCGCCCAGCTCAGTAGCTTCGCTCTCGGCCTCAGGACAGGTCGACAGCCTGAGACCCTCCTCAACCGCATCCCCAGCGCTGGGTCTCCCTGCAACCCCGCAGCCGATCAGCCGACCTCCCGTTCTTCCCTGCATCATCAGGCATTTGGGAGGCACCCTAAGGTGATTCCTCTCAGAGCCTGTTAGTAGGCGATCATGACAGACAAAGCCATGGAAGGCCTGGGCTGGGAGTGACCGGGTCTTCCCCTTCACCCTTTCCCAGACACGCCCCTTGCCGCAGGTCTCGAAGTCTCACTCCCTTCCTGGTAGAGAGTAGCTCCCAGGCCTGGGGTGGGAGGCTGGCTTGGGGAAGGAGGAGGGACACTGGTCGTCTTGGAAGACCTGTAGGCAAAGAGGAAGGGGGCAGGGTGTTTGCCCGGGGTGGGGCTGTCTGCCAGGCCCTCTGGGTGGCTGTGAAGTGCAGAGGGAACTGGACTTCTGGACTTTGGGCAGGGCAGATCCTTCCAAATCTCTGGCTGCTGAGCAGAGTTTCTTCCGGGCTGGGGCCCAAGTGCCGCCTGCCAAGGGCCTGCTCTATACACAGGTAAGAAGACTCAGAGATGCACCTGGAGGAAGTGGGAGAACAGCCTGAGCCCTGGGGAGTGGGAAGTGTGGTTGGAGGTTAGTGAGAAAAGAGGCAAGGCAGATCAGATTTGGAGATGCTGGGCATAGCTCAGGGGGGACGCAGCCTGAAGACCTTGAGCCTTCTGGGGCCCTCTCAGCCGGGGCCTACCAAGAGCGAGCAGACCTCCTGTTTATTCTGTCCCCTCTTCCCTAGTTCTTCCCTTTTTTCAAAAACCTTGTGTGCTTTTGCTACTACTGTCAACGTTCACCTTGTTTCCTTCGCACTTCTCCCAGATGGCCTCGGTGATCCCTGTAATGCTGTGCTCATCTCCAGATTCCTTTTACTAACCTCAGCTTGCTCTCCGACTCCTTTTCTGTTTTGTACCAAAATCCAATTTTGTTGTTGTTTTGTTTTGTCATAGGGTGCGGATGTTCGACAGAGACAGTGAGAGGGAAAGTGAGAATTCACCCCCAGAAGGGATGGCCATGCTGCTATCCCTTCTCCTCCATTCTCCTCTTGGGATTTTGGGCATGCACACATGCCCATAGTGATTTTCAAGCCAGCAGGCCTGGGACTTGAACGGCAATCAGCCATGTGGGAGTCCGGTGTACCTTAACCACCACACCACCTGCTGTCCCCCCACGTCCTCCCTAATTCTAAGCATCTTTGTTTCTTCTTTATTCTTCTTTCTCTGTCTGTCTGCAACCTTAGTTTTTGTGTTTTGTGTTGTACATTCTCTGCCTGCAGGTCGTTCTCTCCAACTAAGCCAAAGGGTAACCCTATTCTTGTCCCTTTACATGGATTCCCACCATTCTCTAACAAGGTATGGAGCCTGTCCCCTCTTTACCCAGCTGAGCACTCTTGTTCCTCCCTAGCCCTGGTGCGGTCTTCTGGCCAGGATGTCGGGCCTCGTACTGGGGCAGCGGGATGAGCCTGCAGGGCACCGGCTCAGCCAAGAGGAGATCCTGGGGAGCACTCGGCTGGTGACCCAGGGCCTGGAGGCCCTGCACAGTGAGCACCAGGCCGTGCTGCAGAGCCTGTCCCACACCATCGAGTGTCTGCAGCAGGGAGGCCATGAGGAAGGGCTGGTGCACGAGAAGGCCCGGCAGCTGCGCCGCTCCATGGAAAACATCGAGCTGGGGCTGAGCGAGGCCCAGGTGAGAGGGCAGAAGCGGCGCCAAGTGGTCCAGGGTGGGTGGAGGACCAGTGTTCTGACTGGAGCTTTGGGGTTGCCTGTCCTAGCAACTTGCCTTTATTCATTCAGTGAATATATAGTAAGCCCCTACTGTGTCCAGGAACCCTTCTGAGCACTGGCGATACATCACAGAACACAACAGTAAAACTTTCTGCTGCCTCAGAGCTTACGTGTTAGCTGGGAGAGGCTCAGACAATTCACAAATAAGTAAGTAGATGATTCAGGATGTCAGAGTGGTAATTGCTAAGGTCAGAAGGATAAAAATAAAGCAGGGAAGGGGGCGGGAGAGAGGAGATCAGGGAAAAGGAAAAGAAGAGGCACATTTAACAGACCCCAAAATGAAAAGGTATCTGTTGATGATAATAGACATCATATCTATGTATAGTATCATATATAGTCATATCTGTGACTTGACTGATACACGTTGTATTCATGCTGAGAGAAACTATTTTATGTGCTGTAAAGATGTACAGCGATGACAGCATATTTTTAAAAAGTAATACGGTATAAAGTTGGTAAAAAAAAAAAAATAAAGCAGGAAAGTGGACTAGGGAATATGGGAAAAGGTGCAATTTTAGATAGGCTGCTCAAAAATGGCCTCATTGAAAAGGTGAGATTTGAGCAGAGATTTGAAGGTGAGGGAGGTCATGCAGTGAGTAGGGGAAAGCATCTTAAGCAGAGAGAATAGCAAGTGCCAAGACCTCGAACCGGAACCCTTCTGGTGAGCCCAATGGATGGGGAGGGCCAGTGTGGCTGCAGTAGGTGACTGAGGGGAAGCGATGTAGAAGTGGAAGTCTGAGGATGATGGAGCCGGGGCACAAGGGAGCAGGTCACATGCAACTCACGGCGTCAGTAAGGACCTTGCCTTTACTCTGAGTAAGGTCAAACTGTTGGAGTGTTTTGAGAAGTGATGTGGACTGATGTGTCGCCACCTGGCTGCTGGCTTGAGAACTATATTCTTTTTTTCTTTTTCTTTTTCTTGGAAGGGTTTTGCTATAGGGCATGTGCACTCACCAGAAAGACAGAGAGAGACAGAGACAGAAAGCAAGAAATCTCCCCCCAGGGGGATGGCCACGCCGC